GGGTCCCAGGAGGGGGGCAGTCAGGGGGACAAGGGAACGGGGGGGAGGGGTTGGGGGGTTCTGGGGGGGGCGGGAAGTGGGAGGGGGCGGGGCTAGGGCGGGGCTCCTCCCGTCCTCTTTTTTGCTTGCTGAAATATGGTAACCCTAATGGAAATAAACATAACTTACCAATTCTGCTTACTTTATGAGCTAGAAAGGATTTTAAGTAGTCATTCTTACTAAGTCAGACTTAAAGATCTACTCTGTTCTCCAACACAGCGGTTCTCAACCAGGGGTACACAGAGGTCTTCCAGGGGGTAAATCAACTCATCTAGATATTTGCCTAGTTTTACAACAGGCTACATAAAAAGCACTAGCTAAGTCAGTACAAACTAAAATTTCATACAGCCAAAATGAGAAAGTAATCCATTTTTCAGTAATAGGGTGCTGTGACACTTTTTTGTATTTTTATATCTGATTTTGTAAGCAAGCAGTTTTTAACTGAGGTGAAACTTGGGGTACCCAAGACAAATCAGACTCCTGAAAGGGGTACAGTAATCAGGAAAGGATGAGAACCACTATATAACTTCCAATAATGGAAATTGCATGCCTAATTGCATTGATTTCAACAGTTACATGAGGGTTGAACTGGGTCTAATATGTGCCTTAGTTGAATTAAGGTGTTATATTTTTGAGGGCCAGTTTAAATGTCAAATACATGTATTTGGTAGATCAACTGATAAATCACTGTATAAAACAAAGGAGAGAATAATTGAAGTTATTCTTGACAGCCAGTTGACATTAATTACATAGATGTTATGAGATGTTATCTTACTGAGCCATTATTCTAACTTCCCCAAAAAACAAAATCTGATGATTGGAGTGGTAGTTTGTAACCATTTGCACTGTGTAAAGAACTGCAGGAATAAAGCAGAAAGATTTTTTTCCCCTGGCATATATAGAAACAGACTATCCTCAGTGTTTACAAGCAGTGAACTGAAAATGTAAACGCTGCTGCTGTATTTTATTAATAGGGATGAAAGGAATATTCACTCTAAATTTGATTTATATATGTATACTTGTAATTTTCAGGTGTTTGTATTCAAGTGAGTGACCAAATAACTATAATGGCCATCACTGCTTTCAAGTTTAGTGGAGGTGAGATGTGGAAGGTGTGTATTTAAAACTGAGGAATAGTTACTGAAGGATGATCAACTTAAGAGTCACACTTCTATGTGAACACTGTTTATCTAGTGTTATATAGAACATGTAAGTTAACTATAACCGAAAACTTAGACAAATATTTTTCAGGGTTTTCAAACTTCTCTTGTATGTTGACAGTACCCTTGTGGATAGACATCTCGGCCCCAATCCTGCTAGCACTTGTACAACTTAGGTAACATAGTTACAGCCCTGACAAAGCATTTTTAAAGAAACAGGAAGAGCTGATGTAAAACCCCAGAAACTGATCCGGGGCCTCAGATCCACCTAGTACATGAACCTAGTCCAACTTCTTTTTAACTAACTGGATTTCCAGTTGCCTTCCAGCAGGGGATTTCATTTCCTCCTCTCGCCCCGCTGGAAACGTTTTGCTGCAGCTGCTTGTCCTGTGTCCTTATCCCATTTCCTCGGGGCAGCGCGGCTGGTGTCCGTACACGGGATAGATAAGGGAGAGCAGCTGCAAAGATCTGAACCTAACTCGGGACCGAGCACTTCAGGGGTGTGCGGAGAAGCGGCTGACGTGACGGGGAGGCCCCGCAGAGGTTTAAATAGGCGCCTAGGGCTGGCACTGCCCCGCTGGCGGCGGGGATCTCCCGCCACCTTTGTAACCGAGGTTAACACCTAAAGCAGGCTCCGTGTGAAAGCTGCTGCGCGAGGCGTGGGCAGGGGCGGGTCGCGGACCCCTCGGCTCCCCCTCCCCACACTGGCGCAGGAGCGCGGAGGAGCGGGGGGAAGTAAGAGCTGACCACCCCCATCAGTCCCGCTAAGTGCCTGGGCCGGACTTGGGTCCCTGCCTGGCCGGGGGAGCCGCCCACGCACCTTGCAGGCCCTGCAGGCGGAAGGGCCTGTGCTCCAACACCCCGCAGCTCCGGTAGGGGCCGAACCGGAGCGTCACCAGCGCGCGCGGGGGCATGGCGAGCGCAGAGCCCCGGCCCCGCGACAGCCGCCGCGCCGGGCGGTTGCTAAGGCAGGGAACTGCGGGTCACGTGAGTGGGGCCGCCCTGCTGGGTGGGGCGCCCGGGCTCCAGTCTCCCCAGCGGCGCCGTGTGGAGACGGGCGGGGACCGTAACCTGCCTCACCGAGGCCGGGCACTGGCTGCAGCCCAGTTTCTGGCATAGGGCAAGGGCTGGCTGGGCGTCGGGCTCGGGCTGCAGGTGACAGCGTGGCTGGCAGTGGCACGGTCTGCGCGCGGGTCCCACGCAATCCCACACAGCCTGGCAGGTTCTGTGCGTCGCACACGGTTACACACAGCCTGCCACAGTCTGTGGGTCACTCAAGTGCAAGCTGAAATCAGCACAGAGCCTGGCACTGTTTGTGGGACACTCCCCCCCAGGTTCACAGTTGTCAATTTTCACATGGTAAATAAGCATCCCGACTTTCACAATAAGCCAAAAATCAAGTTAAGCCCATGTTAAAACAAGGCCAAAACAAGCGAATCCCTAAGAACTAGGGTTACGATACGTCCGGATTTTCCTGGACATGTCCGGCTTTTTGGGCCTCAAATACCCGTTCGGGGGGAAATCCCAAAAAGCTGGACATGTCCGGGAAAATAGGGAGGTAGGGCGTGGCGGTGCGGGGGCCGGGGCCGGCGCGGTGCTGGGCCTGGGGCACGGGCACTTGGCCGGGGGCCGGGACCGGGGTCGGCATGGGGCTGGGCTGGGGGCCGGGCCAGGAGCGCGGGCACTTGGCCGGGGGCCGGTGCGGTGCTCGGCTGGGGGTGCGGGCAGTTGGCCGGGGGCCGGGGCCCCAGCCGGGCGGGAGACACCGGGGCCAGAGCCTCTTGGCCTGGGCCGGCCGGCCGCCGAAGGGAGCCGCTCGGCCAGGGGGGCCGGACTGAGCTGGGCCGCACCCCGCCCCAGCTTACCTGCTGCCTCCCTGTTTCAGGCTTCCCGCGAACATTTGATTCGCGGGAAGCAGGGGAGGGGGAGGAGCAGGGGGCAGAGCGTTCAGGGGAGGGGGCAGAGTTGGGGCAGGGCCGGGGCCCCATGGAGTGTCCTCCTTTTTAAAAATTAAAATATGGTAACCCTACTAAGAACCCAACATTCTATGTGACTAGATTCCGCCCCCCCTGCAGTCTGGGACTTTGGTGGGCGCACTGTGCACTCCTGACTCTCTCCCCTTCTTCCCCCCGCTTCCCTCCCCCCCCTGCTTGCCGGGCGCTGATCACAAAAAAGAAGCTACAAGCCAAACAAGCAAGGAGCTATGAGCCAAAAACTAGCCAACAAGCAACTCACAAGCCAATTAAGCCAAAACCAAGCTCAATTGCAGTGGTTTTTTGCAGGTTTGGCATGTCTGACCAGGTTTCACTTTGATTTGAAAAAGGGATTTCCCGGCCTTGTGTATTTTGCAGTCATTTTCCCTTTTATAACCAATAAACATGAATGTTCATGTTAATAACCACATGGGAGCACATTCTGAAAATACAGTTACTGAATAAATGAAACGTGCACTTGTGTAAAGCACTGCAGTCATGATGCCATAGGCTAAAATGTTATTTCTGAAACACACTTTTATCGTGTTTATTATGGTAGAGCATAAGGGCTGACCAAAAATGGACCCATTGTCCAATGCTAGGCACTGGACAAACACAGAGAAGTAGGCAGTCCTCATTACTGACTAATGTCATGTTGACTATAAAGGTAATTTTGTTTTGAGACATTATTTAAGGAAAGAAAAGTCTGGGATAGCAGTTGAATTCTCTAACGTTTCCTAGACAGGAAAATAAGGGCTTCCAATGGAAATATTGTCGGTATTTTATACTGGTATTGCTGGAATGTAGGAGCAGGATTGAAACCTATAAGGGAAGGAGTACCATGTAGTGGTTAGAATGTGCACTTCCAAGTTTTATTTTTGGCTCTGCTACTTATATAGGGAGGTGATCATGGGCAAGTCACTTAACCTGACTGAAATTAGGTCTCTACCTTCCATACAGAACATAGGGCCTTCACTGCCTTCTATCTTTGACAGTCTCTTGATGCAATCTCAGCTTCTTCCCATGTCAATTTGATAGCTTTCAGTTCTGCTTCAGTTGTGCTTTTCCATGTTATCCTTGGTCTACCTCGTCACCTCTTGCCCTGGAGATTCCAGTCCAATGCCTGTGTTATGTTATGCAGGTCTTATCTCCATATATGTCCTAGCTATCTCTATTTTTGTTCTGTAATTTCCTGTCCCATAGGTTTTGCTTCTCCATAATTCTTCATTTGTGGCTTTTTTTGGCCATCTAATATTGAAAATTTGTCTAAGGCAGTTGTTTATGGAAACTTGGAGCTTAGATATTAAGGTTTAATAAGTCTCCAAGTTTCAGTGCTGTATAGTAAAACCAACTCTTGAATGGTATTCAATATTCAAAGTTTCATTTGGAGACTAAGGGTACATCTACACTACAGGGGGGAGTCGATTTAAGATACGCAAATTCAGCTACGTGAATAGCGTAGCTGAATTCGACGTATTGCAGCCGACTTACCCCGCTGTGAGGACGGCGGCAAAATCGACTTCTGCGGCTTCTGTCGACGGCGCTTACTCCCACCTCCGCTGGTGGAGTAAGAGCGTCGATTCGGGGATCGATTGTCGCGTCCCAACAGGACGCGATAAATCGATCCCCGAGAGGTCGATTTCTACCCGCCGATTCAGGCAGGTAGTGTAGACCTAGCCTCAGTCTGTTTCTTCAGATCCACTTTCAAGTTACGAAGGCATGTCTGGCTATCGCTGTTCTGGCTTTAATATTTTTATGTATGTATAGATCAAATAGTAATCCTGTGTATCATCACAGAACTGCCAATCGAATACCAGTCACCACTTTACATTCATTTTATAGATTTCCAAAAGCCTTTGATACAGTGGAAAGAACAGTTTTATGGAAGTTGCTAAACCACTATGGAATCCATCAGAAATTTGTAAACCTCATTCAGAGCTTCTATGAAAACATGGCATGCCAAGTAATAGATAACTGTTAACTGACTAAGCCATTTGAGGTTACTACTGTCATCAGACAAGGATGTCTTATTTAACCCATGATCTTTTTACTGGTAGTAAGTAGGTAATGAGAGACTATAGAATGGTTTAGACATAAGAAATCCTGCATATTGGCAGGGGTTTAGACTAGATGATCCTTGCAATCCCTTTTAACCTTATGATTCTATGAATAACCCAGGGGCATACAATGAACTTTTACACAGAAGTTAGAAGACCTTTGTCACAGACAGGGGTGTGGGCGGCCAGGTCTAGTGGTCGGAATTGGAGGCAGAGGCCAGAAACAGTACCAAGGATCAGAGCCGCAGTCAGAGCCAAGGGTCAGATCAGTGTCAGGAACAGAGCAGAACAGGAGCAAGGCATGTATTGGAGCAATCACAGTGGCAGGCATAAGCGTTGAGCAGCCGCTGGCCTGGTGCTGCTTCTGGGCTAAAGAGCAAGCCTGGTGATGCCTTTCAGTCAGTCAGGGAGTGTGCTCAATCAGGGTGTTTAGCTGGTCCCAGGCTTGGCTGCAAGCCCTGATTCCTGACAACCTTGACTTTGCACATTACATCAATTTGCTATCCCATATCCATAGAGACGTTAAAGCCAAAACAAATGCTTTCCAAGCCTATGCACAATTAGTAGGGTTCAAAATCAACACCGAGAAAACTAGAACCAAGGAATCAACACACAACAAGAAACACCAATAACACTTTCTGGGACTAACATAGAAGAGGTCTGATATTTCACATACCTTGGCAGCACTGAAAGTACGTCAGATGGAAAAGATGAAGACATCATAGCATATAGTTTTAACATATTTGCTTAAGTAAGAAATGAGGCTAAAATAACTGCTGTCTGTATGATTTAAATAAACACAATCAGGTCTTTTCTTGCAATACTTTTTATTGGACACAGATTTTTACTATTTAAATATTCTGAGTTCATAGTACCAATATACAGTTTACTTCAATTATATATATATATCTTGATATAGATATTTGTTTCCTTAAAGCATAAAACTTAGAACAGAAACAAAATTAAGATGCTATAAATACACATTTACATTTGCCATAAATCTATACTATGTTATAAAAATAAAAATGTCACTAAAATATTAATTTTGTATTCTTGTAATTCACATACCATAAAAGGTTCAGATACATTGTTATAGCCATTTCCTGCTGAACTTACATGCATAGTGTCACTGAGACTACTCACAGGGGTAATGCCAGCAGTATTTTATCCCTTCAAATGCATCACCATTAAGATTTCTCCCACTTCTGTTTGTTCATTGTGGATTTTTATATTCACGAGAATCCTCTTTTTAAGTGAGATATCAGTCCATAAATATCTTTGAGCACAGTCCAGCATTGGGTGAGTGGGTGGGTAAACATGTGTATAGGCTTGGGAGGATTAGATTTTTATCAGTAAACATTGATTTCCCCTTACACACACAAACTGATGAAAAAATATTTCCATGGATGATCAGAATCAAAATTTATATATAGGCAAAGGAAGAAAAACGTTGCTGAGAACTTGTTAGAGTTTGATTTATGGATATTTATTTTGTATATGTTGACATTTGATGTTGACAGTTTATTTTTTAATCGTTATATAGCTTTAACTTTTTGAATCTGTTTCTACAGTCATTAAATAATTGTCTGACTTCCCCCATTTTCCTGCAACTCTGAAAATTTAAATAGATAAAAATTAAAAATACTTAAAACCCATAATTTTGTGCAACTGTGAAAATTTAAATTAATAGTGACAAAATGCTTAAAATAAGCAGATATCAATCAAAATTATTTAAAAAATAATTTTGCCAAGCCTATATACAGTATATGTTGGTATATATTGCATGAAACCTTACCATCCTAAACCATTTTGCAGTTAACAGGTGGATTTCAAGTGTCATCAACATGTTTATAATAAATCATTGCCACTTGTTATATTAATGTAATTATATTGAATTGATCCTGCCAAACAACATTCTCAAAATACTTGGTATGAGTGATCTATTCACAGCTTTGTAGTTGAATAATATGTAATAGTTTTTGGTTTGCTTTGCATAGATGCATATGCTGAGATTGTGTTTTAAAGCTGCAGAACAACATTTTATTCTACTGGTCTAAAACAACTAATTTTAAATACATTAACCAAAACTAACCACTTCCTGAAAGCCACAAAATATTCCACTGCAACACAGTTTCAAAGAACATGGTGATTAGTTAACTGAGAGGCTGGACTGTAACATAACAGTTGCTATGAAGTTTTATCCAATTTGCATACATTAAGTACAAACTCTGCATTTCTTGTGCACAGAGACCCTGATTCAGTAAGGTACTTCAGTACATGATTAACTTTAAGCATATGAGTAGTTAATATTAAGTATGTACTTAAATGCTCTGCTACATCATCCATGGTGGCATATAAGGATTTAGTGATGTGAAAAGCAGATGAATAGGAAAAACAGGTCAATATATCTAAGCCTGGAATCATTCAGTAATTGGTGGTACTCAGCAATCAGTAAATATTGGCGGCTGTTGATTTCTTATTCAAATGAAAGGATGATGAAAAAACCTTCCATTGTTAATCAGTTTGCAGCGAGGAAAATAAAAGCATCTGCAGATGAATGATGCATACTTTTGTGGTCAGTTTTTTCTGCCTGTCAATTAATAGTAAATGAATATTATAAAGTGCTATGATTTTTTTATCCAATCTGAATTTCAATGCATACAGTTGTATGCTGAGTACATAATAATTAGTCTGAGCTATTTTATGGCATTTGCTTGTGCCAAAAAAGGTGTACAAGTAATACTTTGAAATACACATTGGAAAAATTATTTTACATTTTGACAGATTTCAATCTTAAATATCTCTAATCAGAAATAATCATAACCACATTTTCTATAAATTAGCAAACTTGGAACATGGTCATAGTTTCAAAAAACTCAGAGACAATTTTGTGATTAAAAAATCAAGATATTTTGGTGTCAAGTTTGTATTAAAAGTGCAGACTGCCTTCATAGTGACATAGAACAAAGCAAGATTATATTGAGAATGTTTCAAGGTAATTCTCATAGCAGCAGTATGAAAACAAAATGTAAAGTCACATTTTAAACAGCAAATTAAAACAATAAAAAAGGTTAATTGCTAGACAACAAACTTGCTACATAGTTAATGTAATTTTTGTTATATTAATTTTGGAGCAAAATCATGCCATAGTATTATTTAATACTTTAAAAATAGTCTCCCTTTCTACTTATTGACTGAAGGCAGTTCTGTGCTGTAATGAAACTGCTTTTTTAAAGCAGCAAATACGCATTAAAATATGGGACCACATCCTCAGCCACTGTAAATTAATTACACAAGTTGAGGAATAGGCCCACAGTGCTTAAATGTAATAGAGCCCTTTATAGCCCTCATCCAGCGGAGTACCTCAGCATGTACTTAACTGGAAGTACATGAATAGTTCCAATAAAGTTAATGACACTGCTCATGTTAAAAGCTAAGCATGCGCATATGCACTTTACTGGGTTGGTTTCTAAACTTAATTAAATAAACTATAATTATCCTTACAGCTATCCAGTTAGTTTGATGTACAGAATCATATCTGGTCCCATGCTCTTAGGGCTATGAATGATGAGAACAGGCATTCATTTCAATGGGAGGAGAAAGCACAGATCTCTACTCCCTCTTGTCCAACTAAACATCCCTGGCTAAACTCCTGAGAGTGACCTTTCTGGCTAACTATGGGTCTCCTCCTGCTCCTAATTCAATTAACAAGAGTCTTTCTATTGATTACGCTGAGAGTTGGGTAGGAATCAGGATTGAAAATCTCTAGGCTGAACTAGCTGTGTCTTTCAGTCAGAGAGTCACTGAAACAGACATGGAAAGTATGGAGGGGGGGAGAGGCTCAGGTTCCCCCACTCCCAAAATATATTGTTCCAAAAGTTGTACTGGTGGTATATTGTTCTTACCATTTAGTTAACTATATTAAATAACATTGAAGCAAATGGTTTATTTAAGACACATACTCAATGCAAGACTAAAATGCTCTACAGTATCTATTGTGTATGAATCACTACTGTCTGCATCTAAAAACAAAACAAACGGGATAATCAGAGGTTAGAACCAGTGAAAAGTATTCTTAAAAATGGATCATGTCTGTTACTTCTATAGTGAGGACTTCTGCATCTTGTAGAGCACATTTAAATGCCTACCTCTCTACTCCAGGTATTTGTAACTCTTGAATTTCTTATGGTTGCATGCAGCTCTACTGTTAGTCATGTGACTGAAATTCATTCCTCTGCAGAAAGCTGACAAAAGGATTTAGTGGGACAGGCATATAAGCCTTGTGCTGGGCCTCTATAAAGGGATGTATTTCACCCAGTAAGAGGAGGAAATAAGTACATGAATTAATTTAGGGCAAAATTCTCTCTGCTTCACTTGACTCTGATGTACTGCTATGCATGCGGAGCTCCTCTGATGCAAAGACCCCATGTAGATTATTCTTGGCTTTACTAGGAACAGATGTGTGCTTGGGGCTAGTCAAGGTCAGAATAAAGATGGATGTTAAAACTACTTTTGCATATTGATAGGAATGGTGGTACAGTATGGTTCCATATTATTGCCATCTTCAGTTCAACTAAACCAATCGTTATTGCTGACTCTAGAGCAAAAAAACTGAAACTTCAGTGTTATAGAGAGTCCTGTGGCACCTTTAAGACTAACAGATGTATTGGAGCATGCATCTGACGAAGTGAGTATTCACCCACAAAAGCTTATGCTCCAATACATCTGTTAGTCTTAAAGGTGCCACAGGACTCTCTGTTGCTTTTTACAGATCCAGACTTACACGGCTACTCCTCTGATACTTCAGTGTTATAGTATTCTAGCTTTCATATTGATAAATGATACTCAGACCTAAAACAAGCTGCATTTTTGTTCTACAATAAAATATTTCTCATTATACCTTGCCTTTGAACAGTTGTATCATTGTTTCTTCATAAGGATTTGCAGAGTGGGGGAAAGGAAAGGTTGCAGGAAAATAAGTCACACAGACAGTTAGAGCTTGCGTCCATTTTGAGATTTTGCAGCTGTTTCTTGTTTAGACAGTGATTTTGTCGTAGTAGAGTTGCATTTGCTGCACAAATCTCTCATTTCCATGAGACTTTCTTCCACAGCTTTAGCAAACATGACTGAGGAGGTCTCTTTACATTCTTTAAAGCTTGAGATGCAGAATAATATATGCTCTGGCTGTGGGTTATAACATGCACCATAACCACTGGGGACCACAGGCCCATAACAGCAGAACATTTCCATGGTGGTTGGAACCTGATGATCGGGAAAGGGAAAGAGTGATTTCAAGTTTAACAGTGCCACTGAAATCTAGTTAACATTAAATAATTATTTTTTTAAAAGCCCCAAACATTTTAAACATAGAGGATCCCCTTACCAAATATGGTTGCCTTAATAGGAAGTCTGGAGCACAGAGCTGGACACCAAAATCAGCATTTTGGCAGATAAAACAGCGATGTATGGCTCTAAACACTGATCTAGTGTCCAAATGCAGATTTTGGATGTTCTATTCAGTTGGCTATATTTGAAAACTGGGCTCATTGTCTGAGACTGAAATGCATATATTTCACTTATTCTACCATTTTAAATAGACCTTTAATGGCTATTAGCTTTGCATACTGATTTCCACAGAATAACTATCAATTTCTACAGAATGCCTATCAACAATAATGCTGCCTAAAATTCCCCTAAGATTTCACTCAGCTTATCTCAATGTTAATTTAAACTTGTAATGTGCAAAGTTTAATTACTTTTGCAGCTCTTAACATTTATTATCAGGAGGCCAGGAAAAAAAACAGTATATTTTAAATCATTCATTTATTAGTTGAAACAATTTTTCTGTTACATTTCAAATTTAATTGTGACATAATGCTGGATAAAATACTTCCTACTGAAGGAAATTTAAGATTTGTTAGAAATCTATATGTTTCAGACTTTGTGTACATGAGCCTTCAAAAGTGACATTTGGCTTTTTAATGGCATAGAACAAGCCATTAGTCCTGCTAATAGAGTCATAGAATTGTCAGATAAATTTGCTGTGCAACAGCCGAAGGCCATAAAGCTATTCAGAAGCACTTTTTTGCTCATGGATGGTTTCTTGGAGAATTTATGTAGTGTATTCTGGCTACATTCACTCATGTCTGAAAGCCCACAAACATTATGACCAGATCAAATTACTTATTAAGGTTTTTATGCTTCAGCACAATATTATCAGTCCTTTTTATTGCACAGTCCCAGTCCTATATAGTTGCGGTAGAGTGTCAGTAAATGAATTACTATGTAGATTTCTTTTTTCACTAAACCTGCTACTGTATGTAGAGAAACATTTAATTTGTAAGTTTTGATGACCCTGGTATTATCGTTCAAAATGTTGAATCTAGGAAATATTGGTGTGGCTAATCATCTTGTTACCAGCATATACCATCTGTAAATGCAAAAGCTCATTTGCACATCAGGAATTGCAACTCTGACAATTTTTGCGACTATTCTAAGGATGAATAAGGCTACAGTTAGGATATTTACACTCTACATTCCCTAATCTGTTCAGGTTATTACTGCCTGTACATGTTGGACAGGCAGAGCCAGTGATGGTCCTAGCCTGTGCCAACTATGAGCTTGCCTTTGGGCTCCACACATATCCAACCCACCAGTCACAGGATCTGAATAGCACACCCTCATTTCTAGTTGTTGTCTTGACAAGTTTTCATCTCACCTTCTGATTAAAGCTCTTGAATGTGTTTCTCTGCTGCTGCCTTTCTCCTAAGTTACTGTTCAGTAGAATTTCCCATCTGGTATATTCCAGAGACTGTAGACTAAAGTCTTGCAACCAGGTATACGGGAAGTGTGTCACAGTCATGTAACAGCCAGTCAGTATTGTTTTAAGTGTGAAGAGGTGGGGGTATTCAGAGGTGAGGAAAGGCTGCGCAAGGCCTTGTACCTCTTAGTAGCATGCATAGGTCCTTGCAAAACCTAAGCTAGCACTAGCCTGAAATTTCAAACACAGCTGCTTTTAAAAAGAAATATTTGTTCATGCTTCTTGACCTCTCTCTCCACAATGTCACCACATCTGGCTTGATGGCTGTGCTGTCTCTGGAAAACAGAATTACTACAGGATACCTGTAGAATACCTTCAGAAG